CCCCCCCCCCCCTCTACTCTCTTTGTCCTTTCCTGGAAATATATAGTTTTTTCCATGGCTGTTTCCAAGTTATTTATTCTAACCAGAACTTTAAATTGGATCCTGTAGAGAGGTTAGAGGAGAGGCGTGGCCCACATGTTAAAGCGCATGCGCAACAAGCAGGAATTCTCTTTACGCAACGCGGGTTCCCTCGAGGTAAAGTTTAATAAGCTCTTATTCAGTACAGCAGGCTATTAACAGTACGATGATGTGTTCCCATCAACAGTGGACAACTGCTGCACTGCACAATGGTATTTTGACTGCCAAAACTTCTGTCACCGCCGCACACTTATCAGGTTTCACTTTGAGCAGACATGAAAAAACATTCTATCATTAGCATTATGATGGACTTAGCTCATATGACACTCTATTGGAAGATACCATTTAAACCATGACCCAAAGTTACTAAAGACATTTGCGTGAACTGGGGAAAGAGAATTGATTTGATCATGTAAGCCTCCCAGAAAATAACTTTTTGTGCATTTATGACACCTAAACACATTGCTCCAAAGGCAGCTTCACGTGTAAAGAATCCTACAAAAACAAGCTTTTGATGTCATTTACACAAAAAAAGGAAAATGCTTTAGAATAAGGTAATCTTAGGTATTGGGTTTAATGCCACTCAGTTACAGTTATCAGCTAGGGATGTAAAGCAACATGAGGTGAGCTACTCGGCTCCAAAGAGGCCCAACGGCAAAGTCAGAGGGAAATGATGTCGAAGAAAATAGTCTTGGAAAAACGTAGACAAGCTGTATTGCCGAGAGCCAAAAGAGCTCACACCACACATGACATGTCACATGCAGTATTGAAAGGATGGAGAACTGACATCTTGTCTGTCTCGTGTCTCCACAGGAATGGCAAGAAGGAGTCTGACCTTGAGGCGGCTCTGATCAGGCTGAGGGACCTGGAGGCCATGCTGAACTCTAAAGATGCTTCCCTCTCCACGGCCCTGGGGGAGAAGCGGGCCCTGGAGGCAGAGTTGAAGGACCTCAAGGCCCAGCTGGCCAAGGTACAATCATCTTTGTTAGAATAAAAACCTTGAATGGTTGTTGTTGTTGTTGGCATGCTTCTAAAGCATTTAGCATATTTATATCACCTCAACTGACCTTTTTTAAATAGAACAAATCTTCTATAAAGAAAAGAGAAAAGAAAAATGCCCCATTGTTTACTAAAAAGTGCTACATTTCTCATCTTTAAGTGCAAATCTTTTCTAGAGTTTAGATGCAAATAGTAAAACAGACTAGCCATGTGCATTTCAAAATGAAAGCGTATCTGACTGATGTATATCAAAGCTTTTGGATTACTGACTCAATCATACCGCTGGCTTTTATTATGCCTAATAAACATCCCTCTAAATTGACATCATAGAAAAATCAACCTATCAATGGGATAGGCGTGGCAAATGTTAAAATCTGTGTTGCCACCTTTTTGAAAAAACAATCAGTAGATTTTGCAACGCAAAGCTGCAGTGACTGATATTTGATAGAGTTCAGAAATACCAGCTGGGAGTAGTCATTTTATGTAAAGCCTCCAGGCAGTCGATTGTGAATGAGGACAAGGTGGCGAGGCGGACAAGGTTACTTTCCCTGCTGTTTGTTTTATCAATGAAGTTTACCTGAGGACTAACGTAGTTACAGTTGTGGCCCTGCTCCTCCTACTGGCCACAATCAGGAAGTACAAGTTGTCTCTTCAAAGAATAGCTGAGACAATGCTGCACAGATCACACCCTAGGCTTGGTTTGATTTTGTTGAAATGCATCCATTAAAGAACATTTCTCTCTCCCCCTCCCTCCCTCCCTACCTAACTTACGTTATAGCATACATTATTACGAACGGT